CTCTCTCTCTCTCTCTCTCTCTCTCTCTCTCTCTCTCTCTCTCTCTCTCTCTCTCTCTCTCTCTCCTCTTCGTCGTGGTCTTCTTTGCAGGTGCGTGCGGCAGCTTCTTCAACCTCCGGACCCGCTATGGCGGACTTCCTCTCCGACGGCGACTTCGACTATGGCGCGTAGCTCTCTCTGCGGCACCCGACGAACGCACGTGGAATAGCGGGTACCAGCTCCGATACCAATGCAATCAGACTCGCTTTCATTCACACTTCTCAGGCATGCAAACAGGTTGCGCAGCAAACTGGCGACAAGCGCCCACTCAAAACTCAGAGATATGGCAAACAAGAACACAGTTCAGATACAACTTGCTTTAGAGGGCTATGGGGGCTCAGCGCCTGTACAACTCTCTGTTCGGTCTCACAGAATCACCCTGGATACCCCACGCGCGATACTCTGTACACACATACACGCACACGCACACACTACACTCTACCTACAGCTATGGCGGCTATGGCCGCTGCTAACCTATTGCTATGGCTAAGCTCCTTCTCGCCCACTTCGTCTTCGGGCTCACTGCAGACCACCTCTCACAAGTCGCTATGGCAGCGCTTCCGCATGGCTTACGCAGGAATGAATGAATGGCTGGGCGCTGCCTCTTGATTTATACTTCTGTATCTCGTCGGTCTGCCCTTTTCCCATGCCTGTGGTGCACACAGTCCCATGTGGTACTTGCTTGACTGGACTAGGACTGACTGGGACTGGGACTGCTGACTCAGCACGGGTAGACTCCACCACTTGCCCACTTGCCTCAGCCTAAACGTGAGCAACTTCGAAAGGCCATTACTAGGACCTTCCAGAAGTCTGGGTCCTGGCCTTTCGAAGACTGTAGCAGGTACGACCTTGACCTTTCAGGACTGTAGCAGCTATGACCTTGACCCTTCGGAAGTTCTACAGCTTCACTTCTAGAACTCCCTAAGACTTCTACCCGACACGTCTACAGATGGAACCCCTCCACCTACAGACCCTACGACAGACTACCACTTCTGCAAACACACACAGGTCACGGGTTCAACTCTCAGGGTCGACACAGGTACTGTACACAGGTAAGGTGAGGACTGGGGATCGAGCCTTGGGATCTGCATTCGCTACTGCTAATAGGTGAAAACCGTTTCACCAGAGTGTGCTCACTTCTGTTTTCTTTTGTTTTCTTTTCACATTTCGACGTTTTTCGTTTTTTTTCGTCTTTTTTTGTTTGTTTGTTTGTTTTTTTTTTTGTTTTTTTTTGTTTTGTTTTTCCAATAAATTGCAGCAACTGGGCATTGGCTTGCCCGACCCCCAAAAGTCGCGGCGCGTTAACGGCCGCGACTTCTAAAAAACAACAGGGAGGTACTGTCGGTTTAATCCCTCAATCAGATCAAAACTTAGTGGCATTTTTCCCTTTTCTTTGTGTTTTTTTTTGTTTTTGTTGTTTTAACTTCGTATACAGGACACCTACTTAACGAGGTGATAAGAGCATCCCCGGTAAGTAGGCCCCAGCGTTGAAGGCTCCATTTATTGGTGGGGAGCTGCGCCTGCTAGAAATCGGGTCCAGCGTCCCTGTACAATGATGTGAATGTATCAGCTGGAAATCGGGTCCACCGTCCCTATACAGAGATGTGTTGATATCTCCTGCCTCCCGAGATCCCATGTGCTGTATGTATGATGTGAGTGCTTGTGTATTTGTGTATTTGTTTGTTTGTATCGATGCAATCTATATGATCTGTGCTTCGTATGCCTGTGCTGTAAGAGGGTTCCATCTGCTGTGTGTGCTTTGGGTGACAGTGTTGTGCTGTGGTGCTTTTGTGTCTCAGTTGTGTAATATGATGCATGATGTGTGTGTGTTGGTGTGTTGAGTGAGTGAGTAGTGTAAGAGATCTATTGTAGATCTGTATGCGTCAGTGGGATGAAGAGATCTTTGTAACCAATGTAGCAACATTATGTGACGAAATTGCGAACATATTGTGACCCCGTGTCAGCATACCCAGGTGGGCGCCATTGCCTTCTCTGGAGGCTTCTGTGCGAGCACCTTGCTTTCTTCAGTGCTCATTGAGCACAGACAGAAACAGGCCCCTCTTTTTTTCCTGATTCTGCAACGTATAGGATCAGGGTGTTATATTGCTCGAGTATCGATAGATGGAGGGCTTATTTCCCTCAATTACCTATGCATAAACTTCCACTAGACCCATTGGAATGGACTTGGAGAGCTAATAAACAATGTGGCATTTTTTCCTGATTCTGCAATGTATAGGATAAGGGTGTTAAATTGCTAGAGTATCAACAGATGGGGGGCTTATCTCCCTCTTTTTTTTTTTTTTTTTTGGGGAACATGCTCCAGTCTATTCGTGGGGAGCAGCACGTGCTGGGAACCGGGCCCAGCATCGCATTCAAGATCATGTTGAGAAATTGGGAAATTTATGGAGACATCCTTGAGATACCGGGGCCATTACCCGGCTTCAGCTAAGAAAGACAGCTGTGTAATCTACACAAGAACACTAAAATTCTCCATCCCCCAAAGCTCAGATCAAAGGAGCATTCAGAATGAAAAAAAAACACCTGCCTTAGGGCCTTTCAGCAGCCCAACCCTACCTGCCTCACCCCTATATCCTAATGCCCAATCTCTACCAGGCCTGATGGCCCCAACTGCTACGTTACAGCGTGGCACGACCCACCCCAGAAAAACCCCACCTGCTAGGCCACAGGGCAAAGCGACCCACCCTGGCTCCGCCCAGCATTCACTAGGCACCAGCTCACCCAAAGACACTAGAGTGCCTTCCACCCTCGACAACTCCCCAGATCTCTCTACCAGGTCTCATGCCCTCGTACAGCTTGAGTTACAGGGCAGCGCACCCAAGCCCCAGCACCGACCAGCGTCGTTCTGGCCTCGTCTATTTGCAAACCACTGGAACTCAGGACTAAGGCAAATATAAGTCAAGCCACCAATCAGCACCATAGCTGTAGATCCCATCATTCATCTCCTCCTTTTTTGAGAAATTTTAAAGGAGTTCAAGAAATTTTTTCTGAATCCCTTCATGGATAACTCCTGACCAATTGCTAGGCTACTCAAGCAGCAATTACTCAGTCGAAAAGGAGAGCCACAGAAGTCCTTCGAATGCTCTGAATCCCTGGAATCCCTAACAAAACCCTCTAAAATTCTCTAACACTGTCTTATTCCCTGCCGAGCTCTCCCAGGCCTCATGCCCCCACCCTGCTAGGTTACAGGGCAACACGACTCACCCCGGCTCCGGCCAGCGTGGTCCCGACAGCAACCCTTGATTTTCCCTTGGAATCCCCGCCCCAAGCCATCCCCAGATCTCTCTACCAGGCCTCACGCTCCTGCTATCAATAGGTTACAGGGCAACTCCCCAGCACCACTGACCAGCGTCGTTCTGGCATCGAAAAACCGCAAATCCATGAATATAACAGCATCTAAGAAACCTAAAGTGAATTGCAAGAAGTACCCAGAATCCTAAAGCGTTCTCAAGACCACTGAAAGCAACCGAGAACAACAAAATTGTTTCCCTCAATTACCTGTTCCTGAACTTCCACTAGACCCGTCGGAATGAACTTGGAGAGCTAATAAACCCATTAAACCCCAAAAATTCTGCTTTCCCTAACAGTCAAGGCTTCGTACCGTCTACTCCGTCCAAATATTGATGTCACCTCTATAGTAGAGGAGCGATGGTAAAGGCAACTTAACATTCATTCAGAACTGCTTGGATGGAAAGGCCAACAAAGTTTGCATCGTTACAGTGGCAAATTGTTCAAAGGTGTCTGCCAACTTTTGCCATAGGTGTCTGCCAACTTAGGATTGGCTCATTGATCATTCTTCTCTCGAACAAAAAGGTATGGCTATACCCTGGTGTCAAGCATGTGTCTCAGCCTTCCCAGTTGGAAGATCAGGGAAACCATTGAACATAATGTTCTGCAATGTCCTAAAGCCATGCCACTTTGGTGAAGATTGGACTACATATGGTCCAAACTCACAGACTTGGAATGACCCTGGGAATTGAGAGCATTGCTTCTAGTTCATTGAAATCTTATACTGGTGGACCTGTCAGATTTTCAGAGTAATCTTTTCAATTTGGGGAGAAAAGCGGTACCATGGGCATTGTGGTATAGGACATGTGTCCTCTCATGGGAATAAGTTAAAATTGATGGTCAAGAAATCCATGAAATAATAATTCAATTTGTTCATACAGAAATTAGAGCCCAATCGTCTAAAACTAAAACCACTATCAAAACAATGATTCAAAAACAGGATATTAAAAAGACACTTAATAATTTTCTATCAAACTGGCTGGGGGAACGTTCAGAGGGGAAACTGGGGAAAGTGAAGTGGCCAGTGGGGGAAGGATATGGAAGCTTTGAGAGAGACTATCTTCTTCCACAACTGGTTTGATCTTCAACCAGGAACTACAATGAAATCGAAAGGGTGCAACGCTGCTGGGAGTGCTGCGCCCAACTTGCATGAGCCGGCTGAACCGGCACCGGCGCGAAGCAACATAGGGAGAACGGAGGTTGATGGCAGCGCGCGGGGAGTTCACACAGTGAGGTTGGCGCGTCGCAACGGCTGATGGGAAGTGTTCGGGGTTGATAAGGAGGTGCACGCCGCTGCACGAGGTTAGTGGTTGGATACGGTTTTGGTGCTCTTATCCTTGGCGAGGACACGTGGTGGTTGTGTTGTCCGGGTTAGGGGGGATTGCTTTCCTTTATCTGGAGCGATGCCATGTGGTGGTTGGTCCGTAAGTGCGATGGGAGTGCCGATGGGAGTGTCGGTTGAAACCTTTGTTTTTTTTCTGCATCTTGCCACAACGGGAGATCTTTGACATCGCCAGAAGGAGGAAGAACAACGCGAGTGGGGGATCACGAAGATGAGGAAGCGTCTTCTGATCAGCATCGTTTAGCTGATCCCGTGTGTGGATGAAGTAAGGTGGGGGTTGGATGGGATGGACTGGATTGTGGTGTGGGGGGAAGGAGAAACGAGAGTCCGGATTAGTAAGTTGTTTTCCTCTCCGGCTTTACCCTTTCTTATCCCTTCCCCTGTCGTGTTATGTTCTTAGCTGCTTCTCTTTCTGTGTCGACTTCATCTCTGTCTTCTATCTTGCCAGAGCGAAACTCCTGCGACGTGTCGTCGGCAGGCTCGACGTCTGACTATCGCAACGAGCCTTGGCCTCGGCCTGGTGGTCTTCTGCTTCCAATGGGAGGGGGAAGGCTCTCC